GGGCTTACTCTTTGACCCTGGAATAGATCTGTGTCTTGGGATATGATCTAAGGACTAACACTTTATTCTGGGGAGTTGCCTGATACTATTCCTAAGGGGACACTGATCCTGTGTTGGAGTGTGGGGAGATCTCATTGATACTGATAAGGCTTCTTATTTATTTGTTGATTTAGCATAGGAGAAGATCTGCAGTGGGTCAGGAAACTGATTTGTGACATTGACAAGGATTCTCAGGACAATTGCCCTATGGTGGCTGGAACAGTTTAGTTTGAGGACTTTATTGCCAGAAACACCATGTCATGCATTGACTTGTTCTGTGGGGTCCTTGTTCATTCTTCACACTATTACCCCGCATTCCTGTGGGAGAGCCCTGCCTAAACACCAGCACATGGGACTTTTTATCTTGCATTCTTCTTGTAAGCAGGTGAGGACCTACTTTTATCTCTCTCGCTGCCTCTCATGCTAAAACAACCAGAAGGTCTCTGGCTTACTTTCATGAGTCCCTAGAAGCCTGTCATCAGAGAGCCAGTCTCACTGCAGTCATGATTTTGGTTTAGCTGCTGGTAAAAGTGTTGCGTGAAATGTTGGCCATGGGCCATGCAGAAACAGGAAGAGGGAGCGCAATAAAGAGATAAAAACACGAACTCTCTGAAGGCAGTTTTAGGGACTTTGCATTTGTTGCGTGACTTGATAGCACAACAGTCCCATGAAGTGGGTTTTATATAAGGTCTTCGTATCTCACAAAGAGATGCAGCGCCTCGTGCAAGTTCATCCTAGTTGGCGGCACCTTTGTCCAAGGTCTCTACATTATCGGTGCTTCTCATAGCTGCTTTGTGTCCCCTGTCTTTGCAGATAGTACCACCTCACACACACTGTCCTTGGTGTGGCCTATGGGGAGGCCACTGTGCCTCACCTGACCCTAAGTTAGCATCCAAGTGACATGGAAAAGGTTCACAGTGGAAGAGAAGCCTCCACAGGTGACAGGGTGTGAAAGAAGCCCTCAAGCCCTCCAGGGCTGGCTGCAGGAGATACAGAATGAATTGGGCTCTCCCAATTCAAAAAGAGAGAACTTCAATAGAAAGTGGAAGAGAGATTGTGTCAGAGATGAGCAGGTGAATATCAATCAGCCATGTATGCTGAGGCAAGGAGGGCAAGAGAGCCAGAGAAGAGATTCATACTTGGGTGAGGCTGGCCTTGGACTCAACACTTCATGGTCATGCCCAAGCCAAAGAGGTTCCTGATCTACACAATTGGAGAAGAGTGCCAAGAAACACAGAGCATTCAGAGGAAAGCCTGGAATTTATGGAAATAAAGTCTGTGGGGACACTGCAGCAGCTTTGGTCACTCACCATGAGGAATTGTCATCTTCAGGGGATAAATGAGATGACACAGAACCTTATAGCTTTGTCTAGAAGGAGCAGGGCTTTATAGACCACTTCAAGTAGATAGAAAAAATTGATCAAATTCCCCTTAGCCTCTTTAGACATGAAATCTACTGAGTTTCTTGGTATATATGTGAAGCCAATTTGTAAACTATAAGGAGACAGGAAGAGATTTGGTCATTGGAAACCTTAAAAATTGAACTCCAAGTCTGGGCACAGTGGCTCATGCCTGTAATCCCAGCGCTTCGGGAGGCCAAAGAGGGTGGATCACCTGAGGTTTGGAGTTCGAGACCAGCACGGCCAACATGGTGAAACCCTGTCTCTACTAAAAATACAGAAATTAATTGGGTGTGATGGCAGGCGCCTGTAATTCCAGCTACTTGGGAGGCTGAGGCAGGAGAATCGCTTGAAACTGGGAGGGGGAGTGGGGGGGACGGAGGTGGCAGTGAGCCAAGATTGTGCACTCCAGCCTGGGCATCAAGAGTGACACTACATCTTCAAAAAAAAAAAAAAAAAAAAAAGGACTCCAGGGTTAAAAAGTCAGCTCTACCTTTTGTTTCAGCATTCTTAAGAGACTGATAATACCTACCTTATCAATGGATGTACTTGTTGGAAGTCAATTGATAGAGAATATATAAACATACTCTGTAAACTGTGAAGCATTTTATAAAACATGACTTCATATTGCACAGATATCCAGCTTTTTAAAATAAAACATGCAGAAAGAACTTATTTTGGTGTGTGATGAGTGGTAATAGCAGCTCTTAGTACTTCACTGTGATTTCTGTTCTAGCATATTTGCTCTTAAAACTGAAGAGTAAGGGGGAAAATAAAGATGAAAAATAAGCTTTGATATTTCCAAATGGAGCTTTTCAAAATGTCTCTGATGGACATGGTTAATATCAGAATGTCAAAATTGAATGTAGATGTATCAATGTGTTAAATAAAAGCCATTGTCCAGCTTAAGAATTATCTCTCACTATAGTAGTGTCTAACTAGTAGCATTCATAATTACAACCTTTTTTACAGTATTTTTGTAAGAAAGTTGATCTCAAGAGTTACACACATAGCTTTAAGTATTTGTGTCTGCCTTGACAACAGAAATCAGTCAAGAAGGTGGCAGGTTTATTTTTCTATACGTGGGTAAATGTGATAAGATGGATGGTGCATTAAAAAATAAAGAGCAGGGCTTTTCCAAGCTGATTTACATATTGATAAATTACTACTTAATTTAGCGCCTGGTAATAAACTGTGCCTTGGAAATGTTTCCCAAGCATTTATTGGCTGCAGTAATTCTACCTACAGTGTATGCAGATCACAGCCTCATTAAATATTAATGTGTTCATGAAATGTTAATAGAATGTTAATGTGAAATACAAGGGAATGTGCTCTCTGGGAGCCGATGAAAACTACCTGTCTTCTGTCTTTTCTTTATGTACTGTCTTCTGGCTCTGTTTCTTTTTTTCAGTTCATTTCTCCCATCATCAGGAGCTTCAGATTAGCTCTCTAATCTGACTGTCTCAGAAAACATTTAGAAGGGAAATAAAATTCACTGATTAATGGAACTTAGTTGTTCTCCCCTCCTGCTTTCCAGAATGGGTTCCCTGAAAAGGAAAAGGGTGATTCAGGCTGAGTGAAGTGAAATTCTCTGTGCTTGGGCAGACTGAGTGCATATGTTTTGGGGAGGCCAGCCCACTGCCAAACTCACCTCAATGGGTTCTGACCTTCATGTCTATCTGGAATGTTCCTTCTCATATACCTTGACATAGCAAGATCTTTCTCATTGCTCGATTCTCAATAGTCCGAGAACCTTCCTTGATCACCTGGTTATCTAAACTCCCTTCCTCAAGTATTCCCTGTTACTCTCTGTCACTCAACAAGTTATTATTTTATTTTCATAGCACTTGCGATAAACTGTGTAACTACGTCTTTTGTTTTTGTGTCCTTCAATTAGAATGAATACTCAATGAGGTCAGGCCCTTGTCTATTTTATGGAGCTCAGCCATCTTCCTGGTAAATAATAGGTGCTCAATTAATACTGTTGACTACATGAATAAAACACCTGTCCCTGCCACTGAAGAGTTCATAGTCTGTGGAGGTGACAGAATGAGTCACTGCACAGCAGCATTGTAGATGCTACTGAGAGATGGTCATTCAAAGTGCTGTAGCTATTAAGGAAATCCCAGAAAACTCTTACTGGGGATGAGTTTTGGAGAGGCAGCTTTAGACATGGATAACGTTTTATAACTTGAGAGTTTTGTTATTTTGTTTTGCTTTTGTTCCATCTATGTGTAGAGTAATTTCCTTAGTTGACAGTGATAGGAACATCTCAAATTAGCTTAAGAAAAGAGGATAATTTATTAGATGGACAAAAGGATTTTCAGAGGAGGGATTGAGCAACCAAAGGAGAAAGACAGGGAAGTAGCTGTGCTATAGGAACAGGGGACCAGTAGGAACAGGTGGAACCAGTCTCAAACACTTCTAGGTCTCTCGCTGCCTCTCCTCTCTGTTTTACTTTGCATTTTAGTTTTATTTTCCTTTTTTTCTAAGGGCCAACATCCGGGTAACTCCTCAGCTCCTAAGTCCACACCCCAGGGGCACCGTCAGCATAGTTGAGCCAGTTTTCTTTTCTTTTCTTTTCTTTTCTTTTCTTTTCTTTTCTTTTCTTTTCTTTTCTTTTCTTTCTTTCCTTCCTTCCTTCCTTTCTTTTCTTTCTTCTTTTCTTTCTTTTTCTTCCTTTCTTCCTTTCTTTTCTTCCCTTCTTCCCTTCCCTTCTTCTTTTTTTTTTTTTTTGTTGTTTTTTGTTTTGAGGTGGAGTCTCGCTCCGTCATTCAGGCTGGAGTGCAGTGGCACTACCTCGGCTCACTGCAGCCTCCACTTCCTGGGTTCAGGTGATTCTCCTGCCTCAGCCTGCCCTCTACCTGCGATTAAAGGCACCTGCTACCACACCCAGATGCTTTTGTTATTTTTAGTAGAGACGGAGTTTCACCATGTTGGTCAGGCTCGTCTCCAACTCCTGACCTCCAATGATCCACCCGCCTCGGCCTCCCACAGGGCTGGGATTACAGGCATGAATCACCATACCCGGCCCCAGTTTTTCTTAGTATGAAGTCTCAGGAAAGGACTCTGATTGGTCCATCATGTCACATTTTCCAGGCATGATTTATTCAACTGATGCCAGAGGGTGAAGAGCTTGTAAGAATATGGACTTCCTTGGAAAATACCCTATTGAGGTTTGAGACTGAAGTCACAGAAGGAGTTACTATTCCCAAGAAAAGAGGATAGAAATGGGAGGACGAGAGAGTTGTTCGGTCACTGAAATAAAAAAGTCTTTATTGTACTATTCCCAAACGCTCTCCACAGGCTCCTCTGTGTAAATGGGGAACCAACAAGCAAAATATCCTCTTACAGGGTTGAAGAGGGTTGTCAAAGATTTAGTGGGGGAAAATGAGACTTTTAGGTCCTATATACTTGTAGTACTATTTTGTCCTGGCCCCGGGAGTCTTCATTTGGGGATCTGAAGTGGATCTGTGTATTCACCTATTGGAATGAAGTTGATATTCTTAATGTTTTCTGCAATTGAATTGCCTTTCTAATCTGTTCCCTTTCCCATTACAGATTGTGCTTGAGAACAGTAGCCGAGAAGATAAGCATGAATGTCCCTTTGGCCGCAGTAGTATAGAGCTGACCAAGATGCTGTGTGAGATCTTGAAAGTGGGCGAGTTGCGTAAGTATACTTATTTCCCACATGGGTGTGAAGCCTTGCAGAGTCCCAGCTTCCAGGGTTGTGCCTCTACCTGTATGAAGAAATCCCAAGACGCCGACAGCTTCTTATGGTCATCACTGTGCATAGGTTGATTATTATTTGGCTCAGGTTTACAATACATACTTTTGCATGTCTGCTCTGGAAGTAAATGTGATTAAAACCTATGGGAATGGAGAAATTTACAGATATTGTGGCTGAGTTTCAAATATCATGTAAATGAGTACATATTAAAACAGGCTTGCTTCTGTTGAGTGAAAAAAAAAACTATGGATTTCTTTTTTAAAATTCCAGTTTATAACCTACCAGTAGATCCTTTTCTTTCTTTCAAAGCAATTTTCCTCTATAAAGAAAAATTGAATACCTTAATGAAATTCTCTTGCTCCCAGTGTTTCTGTTGTTTGGAATACTTTCTCTAAGAAAGAAGAAATTATTAAAGAAAATAGGTAGCTGAAAATGAAAAATGTGGTCAGCAATATTTTTATTGCTCTTTTTCTTATATCACAAAATTTATGAGAGTACATACAGAAAAAGAAAGGATGAGAATTTTCTTGCCTTTCATTCATTGGCATAATTTGGCTTTAACCTATGAAGGTGGATATGATTTAACCTGTCCTCGTTATCATTGTTGACGTTGAGTCTTCTTAAAGTGGTTTACTTCCATTCCATCCAACATTTAGAAGCCAACACACATATAAATCTTTCCTCACAGGCTTAATCACATGAGCACCAGAAAAGACTGTTCACAACAGAAAAATGTTGGGGTGTTTGGTATTACTGTGAAAATATAAATATTCAGTTGCTTGCTTGAGAGCTTAAAATAATGGCCTGAAATGATTAATGGGAGGAATCCGATGATTACATTGGACAAAGAGTTATGTTTTATTTACAGTGTAGAACTGACTACAGGAATGACTACTGCTGCTGAAATAAACTAGAAAATTTAATACTTAGTAAGGAAAAATACTAAGAAATTGAGCCTGCTTGGCCAAGTGGGAACCTTTATCATCTTCCAGTGAGGGCTCATGGGAGGAAGCAGCCAATGTTGACATGGAACATGAGCATTTTTGCATTGGAACAGTAGCAATGTAACCTGAGAGATCTCTGCATTCATCTACTCTGGTTTATAGCTCACCCAATGTGAACATTTCTGTTTACGTGGATCCTTGACTTGAGTTATCCTTCTCCCTAATTATACTTAACTCGCTGAGATTTCAGTCTGCAGTATCACTTACTGTTTACTCAGCTTAAGGATGTAAGTCCTAAATCAAACAAATACTGCTGAATTTCTCCATCTGATAACTGTGACTGTTTCATGTTTATCTCAATTTCATGGGAGAAATTGGTGAAGGCTGCTGGCTGGAAAGCATGTCTGGACCATCTAGTTAATTTTCAGGAAATGGAGTGAGTAGTGGTGTTCTACCAGATGGGTATTTCTGTGTCCAAGGTACTGCTCTGCACTGCCCTTCATTGTCCCCTCCTTTCTGATGACACCCTTTAGCTGTTTATGCTCATCTTGATGGCAGCAGAAGGCACACTGTCTATGTGCCTTCACTCATGTTCTATGACGTGCCATGCCCAGCTATCTGCTCTTCTCCTTTGCCCAAGGGACATATGTCTGTCCTGCTAAAAGTAAACAAAGAAGAGTGATCTGGTGTAGGAGGTGGAGACTGCTGGTAATAGAGGGGAACTGAGTTCAACTCTGCTACTTTAGGGCCTTGTGTCCCTGAGTGAATTACTCAGAAACCGCACTGTGCTCCCACACCTCCAGGTTCTCTCCAGAGCAGAATGTCTAGAAATGGATTGGTAGTATTTGGGGTGATGATTTGAGTAGTTGTGTTCATTTTCTGGCTGAAATTGCAGTGATCTCAGTGAGAGAAGCTCTTTGGGAACAGCTTGTATTCAGCCTGGGGGAAATAGCTTGGAAGAGATGGCTGAATTCCAGAGCAGGTGCAGGCAGGGTAAACATGACCCTGACGTGGGCTGGCCTCTGGGTCACTGGGTCCCCATCCAGTGGGCAGAGGGGACCTCAGCTGGCAAGAGTCTGGGCAGGTAGTCCTCCTCAGGTGAGTGTTCATTTTGTACTTGGGGATGGAGTGGGGACAGAATAGGGGATAGGGCTTGACCTCTGGCAGGTACAGAGTGGCACCCTGGCCTTTTGAGTATCTGGTGGTCAATCCAAGAATCAGGACAGAACTCTGTGGGCTGAAATAACAGAGTGGAGATGAAGGCAAACACCTCGCGGGTCCCTGGAAGTGCCACAGATGCTCTTCCTGCACTGAAGACTGTTCCATCTCCCACCTTCTGGTGGAGAGAAGACTCCCGACATTCTGCCACGACTCACTCAGGCCTGGTTTCTGCATCGAGACTGGGCTTGGACACCTGAGGCCTGGCATTGTCAAAGCAGTCTCTCTTCACCTAAGATGACAAACACATTTATTAATTTGTTCAATGAAATCTATCCAGTACTTAAAACATGCCACAGACTATGAGGGACACTGCAGGTACAAAGGAACCAGATGTGGTCCTTGTCCCTGAGGGAGTTCAGAAAACTTCCTACACACTTTAGAAAGTGGGAGAATGAGCTGGGACTGATATTTTTTCCTATGAGTTTTGTCATTATATTTTTTAACACATGCCCATCATCTGTCCTGAAGCATAATTTCCCCAATGTTGTAATAGTTGTAAGTTTAAGTTTTTAGTTTGACTTGTTGCTTGCCATCATCTGCAAAGCCCATTCTGGAAATTTGTCAAGGCTTACAAAAAACACTCATGTTTCTGAAGCCTACATGCCAAAATGAGTTGTTTTCTGCTCATAAAATATTAAAAGAATGTTACATTCTGATTGAATGCTAGACATCAAATGATAAAACACCCTGTGGTAAGAGCAAAATTGCTTTTTAATTGATTGCTTTTTGCCCATTGCCATATTAAATAAGTTACTAATATGCAGAGCTAATCTGAATACACCCTTATGTTGAAAGAAATGCCTATTTTGCTTCTGAGGAAAATTAGATTTACACACAAATCTATCTTCACTCGGCTTATATATGTCTGTTTTTCTCCATTCCTAAGTTCATGGTTCTGAGCACTTCTCAGGTTTGTGTTAATAATTAATCTTGAAGACTATGGTCACTTTTGTTCTATAAAGAAGTGCTAAGACCACAGAAATACTCAATTAAAACTCTAACTGGTGGAGAGAAAGGATGTTTACAAAAGTAGAAAGATCCAATTTTCTAGAAAGGGTTTCTCTTTTGATTTTAATTTTTGGTCTCTTGAGGAAACCCACTTCTGAAATAACAATTATATTTTGGTGTCTAAAGCAAACACATTAATGTTCAATTAATTACTAATACCAAATATTTATGTACCATTTTCTAAGGTTGCTTTAAAAAAAAAACAGCACTATTTCCTGCTTCCTAATTATTGACATTGCAAGAAGCAAATGTTACCTCTAATAGCATGGTCCAAAATAATGTCTATTTACATTCTCAGAGCACTTCGTCAAGGTTATTCAGTTGAAGTCTGTAACACTCTCAGGAGTTAATCAAGAGCAATGGCATCTATGTTTATTAGTGAAGGGAAGACCTACTTACTTGCGTAATGTCTGAGTTTACTGAGCTCAAACTGGAATTTAGGAAGCCAAAAAAAAAAAAAAAAAAAGAAAGAGAGAGAGACAGTGTAGAAAGAGGCAAGAAAGTAGAGTGATTGCCTTTGGGCATCTGAATGACCCATCTTGGTCACTGGCTTTATGCCTAGGGCATGTTTCTTCTCTGTTCTGAGCCTCTGGTTCCTTATTTATGAGATAAAGATAGTACATGCTGTGCACAGTTGGTTGGAGCCTTAAATGAGATAATGGATGTTGTCCTAGTTAGAAGATGGGTAATTTTGGGGCTGGATGTGGTGGCTCACACCTGTAATCCCAGCACTTTGGGAGGCCGAGGTGGGCGGATCATGAGGTCAGGAGATCGAGACCGTCCTGGCTAACATGAAACCCGTCTCTACTAAAAATACAAAATTAGCCAGGTGTGGTGGCGAGTGACTGTAGTCCCAGCTACTTGGGAGGCTGAGGCAGGAGAATGGCGTGAACCCGGGAGGCGGAGCTTGCAGTGAGCTGAGATTGCACCACTGCACTCCAGCCTGGGTGACAGAGTGAGACTCCATCTCCAAAAAAAAAAAAAAAAAAGAAGAAGAAGAAGAGAGCAAACTGAAAGTTCAGTGAGGCGAGGAGGGTGCTCTCTGGCATAAGCGACAGCTGGATCTAGGGCCTGGAACAGTGTCCCTTGTTTCTTTATCTTCTATATATTGGTTAAATTTTTCTTTTTAACCTGCTTTTTTCATGAGGCTCTTTTGTGAGCAAGACATATTTTCTCTTAGTTTCAATTTCAGAAATTACAAAGAAGAATACTTAGGGACCTGGACGTGGTCACATATCCCCATAGCCTGGCTTGGATAATTGGCAGCCCCAGTCAGAAGAACAGGATTGAAGATTGCGAGATGATATGGTTTGGCTGTGTCCCCACCCAAATCTCATCTTGAATTGCAGCTCCCGTAATTCCCACATGTTATGGGAGGGACCCAGTGGGAGATAATTGAATCATAGGGATGGTTTCGCCTGTACTGTTCTCATGGTAGTGAATAAGTCTCATGAGATTTGATGGTTTTATAAGGGGAAACCCCTTTTGCTCCACTCTCATTCTCTCTTGCCTGCTGCCATGTAAGACTTGACTTTTGCCTTCCACCATGATTGTGATACCTCCCCAGCCACGGGGCATTGTGAGTCCATTAAACCTCTTTTTCTTTATAAATTACCCAGTCTTGGGTATGTCTTTAGCAGCAGCATGAAAACAGACTATTTCAAGAAAGGAGCAAGTCTTCAAAAGAAGAGGTATATTTGTGTGTGCAGGGTCAGTGAGAGTGGAGGGAGCAGGGGGTGGTGCCCTTACAGAAGACAGGAGGCACGG